TCACTGAAAATGTTCTGGAATCACTTCTAAGCTAAAACTCCTGGCAAGGAATTTTTAGGTTAAGTTAGGAGCTCTCTGAGAGGATTCTCAGAATCTTTAGGGATACGGGCCCTGGTGGCTTTGAAAGGGATCATAAATGAGATGAAAATTGATAGCTTGATTTTTTTTCATAGACTTACACTCTACTACAAGATGCACTTTCTTTCAACAACTGCCTGGCAGAATTTTGCATACATTTTTAGTGCAATTCATCTTTATATTTGTCATTGGACCTAACTTGTTAGAAGTTATCACCATTGGCTTTTTTTGACTTATTAATTCTTGCTTTTTCAGTCATTGATTTCATCAATGAGCAAAAAGAACAAAGGTGTAAAAACAACAGCCTCATATTCTCGGCAGTGAAACTTGCAAACGGTGGTAATTAAAAGTTCTTTATTACACAAATATCAACAGCCTTTTAGATTCAAAACTGGCTTAACTGTTGCTAGCACAGATTCAACAAGATAAAATAAACATCTTGGTCCATGTTGATAGCCACACGCAGTTGCTGCAGATTTGTCGGCTAGACATCCATGAAGCCAGTCTTCCCCTTCCACCACATCCCAAAGGTGCTGCGTTGGATTGACATCTGGTGACTTTGGAGGTTTTTTTTGAGTACACTGGCGTGTTCATGAAACAAGTTTAAGAAGTTCTGAGCTTTGTGACGTGATTAGATATTTGCGTTAACAAGCAGATGAATCGGCGTAAAGTGTTCAGTGTTTGTTCGTTAATATAAAAACTGATCTGGTCAACAGATAGGAGAGGAGCCACTATCGAGTGCTCAACATTTGTAGGAATTCCTTCAGGTCCACTGGAAAAGCATTTCAGGTGAAAACCTCATAAAGACCTCAATGCATGTTTAATGCATAAATTAAACATTTATAAGTTTTAAAACAAAACTGAAGACATCAAAATTTGAAAATTAATTTTAAAAAAAAAGAAAGAAAAAATTGATTAAATAGGCGTTTTGCCTTCTAAACAGTAAATATTTTAATCTGGTCAAATGACACCTTAGATGTATACTCACTGTAACATTTCAAAGATGCAAAGAAAAAATGTTTGAACTGCTATGCAGTTTCAATTTTTCTTTGGACACTAACTAAAAAGTTGAATAATAAATACTTAATTAACTTCAGTCTTTTTCTTACAATTGTCTAAAACTTATTTTCTCGATGAATATTAAACAAACATCCACAGAAATGTATTTAAAACTTACAAATAGCATGTATTGTGCAATGCAGTATAAAGGTGTACATAAAAACCATGTTGTACATCTTCAGAAGAATAACATCTTCATAACAAGCCTGGGAAAAACTTAAATAAAACAAACAATCAAACAACCCCCCAACCTCTTATCATACTATAGCATCCATAGATCCAAAGCAGTTTTAATCATGTTTATTATACACCAAACACCGACAACATTAAAACCACCTGCCTAGTACTCTGCATGTCCCACTTGTCCTCTAAATAGGGCAAAGGTCTTGTGGGTTGAATCTTTATAGTAAGGCAAGGCTGGTGCTGCTGTTGGGGACTACTACCACATTGTTGGGTATTCTTCATGTAAGTGAGTTGTAGTTTTAATGTTGTGACAGATTGGTGTATATTTAAAGTTACTTAATACCATTTTAGATTATTTCATTCATAAAAAAGAAGAAGAAGAACAACAACAACAACAACAACACACACAAAAAAAACTAAAAATGTAAATTGTGTATGTTCCATACAATTGGAAATGCAACATCCGCACAAAATTGATAGAAAACTCAAGTTACAATAGAAAGAAAGCAACAGAAGCAAGATTCAGCTATAATTTGGTCACAAGGTTTCTATAAATAGACTATTCCATCCATCCACACCACAAGCACAGAAGGAAGGTTCTAGCTTGTACAGATAAGTTTTGGAGATTAATTCAACCTCGATACTATAGGCACTGTACAAAAGAGAATTAGGATTTCTGGCCCATGCACTAGACCCACTCCCACTTCACATGTGTTTCCGGATTTTAATCCGACTAACAGACTTCAACTTTGGAAAATAATAACTGTACTTGTATGTTTGTTAGACCACAGGGACAAAACTGCCTTGCAGGTTTTAATGATTTTGTTCTTTAATATATTCTTCTGGTTGCATAGTCTAACACCATGCTGGCTGCTCCAAGTAAAGCTGGTTCTTCCAAGTCTGATGTTACAACCTTGATGTTTTGGACAGAGAAGAGCGCTCTCTGCGAGATGACATGCTGCACTGGCGCCTGGTAGTAAGAGGCCAAGACTCCCGACAGAATCACTTGTGAAGGGTTGACTATGTGGAGGATGTTGATGATGCCCACACCCAGTGCAGTGGCGGCTAAAAAGGGTAAGAACACATAAGGAAGTTATATTTTATCTTTTTTTAAATATATCTTTTAAAACATTACCACATAATCTAAATAACAGGCTGCCTATTTCCATCTGTTGTATGCCAAGTTTTGAGATTTCTTTCATATAACAAAAGGGGTGTGTTATAAACGGTAACACACGGCTGTGTTAACCCCACAGAAAAACTCCTACTCAAATAATGCCTACTGTAAATGTAAGATGCCCAGTAATATGTCCACGAGTAATTTATTTATAGTATTGACTCTTAAGTTAAATTCAGGCTGTTGTGTACATGTGAAAATAAATCAGATTTAGACTAGAGATGGACCGATCCAATATTACGTATCGGTCCGATACGGACGTAAATTACTGGATCGGATATCGGAGAGAAATAAAAAAATGTAATCCGATCCATTAAATATAAAAAAAAAACACCTCACAAAACTTGGCGACATGGCGTAACTCGGCCCATAACCGTAGCACGTCGGAGCAGTGTGCTCACATGATAGAGCGGCTGTGTGTATTTGTAGCCTCAACCAGCATTTCATCTGTGATCCCAGAGAGAAGCAAAGCAAGTGTGTAAGTTCATCTCTGAATGTTTGTAAAGCATTCCCATGTTAAGCTTAACAACTGATATATGGAGCAACTGCCTCTTCTCTCTCCCTCTCCTGTTGCTACTTCAATCATGAAACTGCTTAATGATCAGCTGATCGGCTTTTCTGTCGCGAGTCCGTCTCTCTTCTTTGTTTTTGGCCCACTTTGCACCAGAAAGAGGAAACCAGTGGCTGAACAACAGCAGCACGTTTAAGCTTGATAAGCTGCTGTTAGAATTTATTTAATATTACTTTCTAGACCAGGATCTTTTTCTACGTAGCTGATGGCTGGTAACTGTGCAGGGGCGGATCTAGCAAAGTTTAGCCAGGGGGGCCGATAGAGATGTGACGTCATTCAGGGGTAAAACCGCAAAGAATTCTGGGAACTCGTGGCAAGAGGTACTAGCGCACGTAGGCTTTCAATTGAAATCAGTTATACAGCGATAAAATGAAACACAAAAATGGCAAGAAGCTGTTGTATTATTAACTGCAATAGC